TTTTGTTTCTAAGTGTAAAGCCACTCATCCACCTAATCATTCTCATCTCGGCAACACTTGACTTAGTATTATGCTTCTCTTTTAAAGGCCAACATTCAGCGCCATAAAGCGTTGCAATTCTCACCGCCTTCTTATAAAATTTTCCTTTCGGTATAAGCGGTATTTTTGTATCTCACAAAAGGCCCGAAGCATTCCTCCACTTCAACCAACCAACTTGAATTCTACTATTAACATCCCCATCTATATCACCATTGCTTTGAACAACATACCCGAGATAATTAAATCATTCACACCTTTTAATAATTTATGCTGGAGCTACTAAAATTATATTCTATGTATTTAGTTTTAGTTCTACTCAAATGAAGGCCTTTAGTCTCCAATGTAGACCTGCATAATTTAAGTTTTTCATGGGCTTTTTCTCTCGTCTTATCCACGAGAAGGATATCATAAGCAAAAAACATACACCAAGGTACATCCTCCTGTAAATGTCCACTAAGACCATCCATAACTAAAGCAAAAAGATATGGGCTTAAAGTCGATCCCTGATGTAATCCGATAGAAATAGGAAAATATTTGGTCAATCCTCCTTCAATTCAAACACAAGTAACAGCTTTAGCATGCATATCTTTAATGACTTTAATATAAGTCATATCAACACCTTTCTTCTCAAGATCTCTTCAATAGATATCTCTTGGAACCTTATCGTAATCTTTTTTCTAAATCAATAAAAATTAAATGCAACTCTTTATTATCTCTGATTATTACCATCAAACCTCTTAAAAAATGTATAGCTTCCATAGTAGACCTGTCTGACATAAATCCAAATTGATTATGAGAAATTTTTGTAATACGTATTAACCTACGTTCAATTACCCTCTCTCATGATTTTAAAGTATGACACATCAACTTAATTATTCTATAATTTGCACACTTTTGCGCATCCTCTTTATTCTTAAAAATGGGGACCAAAATACTCTTCCTCTATTCCTCAGGCATTTTTTTAGTTTTTAAAATAATATTAAAGAGTTTAGTAAGCCAAGAAACTCCTAAATCTCCTAAATATTTTCACAGATCAATTGGGATATCATCAGGTCCTGCAGACTTTTCACCTTTCGTTTTCTTCCGCAACTTTTTTACTAATGCGACGGAAAAAATGAATTTTTTTATTATTATTAACGATATTAAGATCACTAAGGTCGATCGTATTTTCAGAAACTTCATTAAAAAATTTATCAAAATAACTCACCCATCAATGTTGAATATTTTTTTTAAGAGAAGCACTTTTTATTTTCATCTTTAATACATTTTGCTTGAGTTAAATTCTTACTTTTCTTTTCTCTTTGTTTGGTTAGTTTATATATATATATATATATATATATTCACCCTCTTTAGTATCTAATCTATTATAAAAATCACTAAAAGAAGAATTTTTAGCATCATAGATTAATCTCATAGACTCCCTGTGGGTCATTTTATATATTACCCTCCTTAGTATCTATTTTACTATAAAGATTACTATAAGCAGAATTTTTGGCGTCACAGATTGCTCTTTTAGATTTCCTGATGGTCGTTTGTATTTTTTCCCAGTTCTCTAAGCTTTTACATCTCTAAGCTTTTACATTTAAACTAATTTTTATAATTTAACTTCTTATATTTTATCTTTTATTGCATATTATTATTCCACCACCAACTATTTTTATTTATAGAAATTTTTTTTATTCTCAAAGTACATCTTTTGCTACTTGTTTAATAGTATTTGTTACTTTATCCCACATAGTATTTGTTTTTTCCATGAACATCCCAAATTTTTAAATCTTGAATTTTACTCATAAAAATAATTTTATTTGTCTTTTAGGTTTCCCCATCTAATTTTACAGTGATGAGTCCTAATATTTTTTTATTTTACAACTCTTTATTTTAAAATCTAGAACTAATAATCGATGTTGGGTATTTAAATCCTTACTTAGAATGATCTTACAATCTTTACAATCTCGACTATCTTTTCTTCTCATAAGAAAATAATCAATTTATGTTTTATTAGATCTATTCTTATAAGTAATAAGATGCTCATTTTTTTTCTTGAATAAAGTATTAGTAATAACAAAATCATAAGCTAAAGTAAAATCTAAAATGACTCTACCCTCTTTGTCACTCCAAAACCGTAGCCACCATGAATATTTCGGAAATTTTCTACCACTCTATTGACATGTCCATTTAAATCTCCTTCAATAAAAATTATTTCTTTAAGAGGTATCATTTGTATTAAGTCTTCTAAGTCATTCTAGAATTTATCTTTAGATCCTATATCTAAACCTACTTGAGGAGCTTAAACACTTATAATATTAAAAATCTTAGTATCAATAATAATCTTAAGGGCTATAATTCTATCTCTAACTCTATTAATTTTTACAACATCATCTTTCAAACTCTTATCTATAATTACATCTACACCATTTCTAGCGCGACTCTTACCAGAATACCAAAGTTTAAAACCCAAGTTATCAATCTCTTTAGCATTTTATCCAACGCATTTAGTTTCTTGAATACATAAGATATTAATCTTTCTATGAATCATAATATCAACTAATTCCATTAATTTATCATTGAGAGTACCTATATTTCAAGTTCTTATTCTAATAGTAGTTTCATTAGTTTATGGACTAACTTCTTTACCCATATCTGTACGTAATGTGGGAATTTTTGTTTATTTGACACTACACTCGGGCACCGGTGTAGCGGCCTTTGCACACTTTTCACTGTATTCAAGTCATACAGCGCGTCGCTTCTAGGGAACGCCCTAGCACTTACACAATGATCAAAAGGATTCATGTTATGATTTTTTCGACAAATTTTATGCTGGCTGTCGAGTATTCAATGCAACCCTCCACTTTTCACATCCAGGCTTGGGACTAGCAATGGCAATGATGGAAATATATTAAAAGAAAAATGTCTTTTGGAAAACAAGCTCTTTCCTTCAGGTGCATCACATAGGCATGTTCATTTATGGGTTTAACTTGAAATAATTTCTTTTTAACATGAAAACAGGTAGGAGGATTTGGCCATGTAATCAATCATCACATAAGTTTCAAATGTTTGGTTCTTTAGAACTCGGCATTTCCCAATATTAGCCAATATCAGCCTCAATGCATCTCCCATAAGGAAGATAGATGGCTTTGTGGCATTTAATCATTTAAAATGTTTATAAACCAAAAGAAGCATGCCCCATAGTATAGTTTCTCTCTCTTGTCAGTGTTTTCTAAATAACACATTGCTTATGCATCTTCAATTGTGCCAACATTGATGATAACAACGAAATTTATTTGGTTGGCATTTCTGGGTGATTGTTTTCTCAGCGGATCAATGATGATAGTGGGATTAAAATATCATTTTAATTTTCATGCAGGTGTAACTTATGATGAGAAGGAAGAAGTTCGTGGTCTTCTAAGAAAGGTTAGTCCAGTGTGCTTGTTACTTAAATAAGGTAATTAGCAACTAAGTCTATTAATTAAGAAAAGTGTCAAATTAGTCCCGTGACTTTTTCTAGGGGGGTCATTTTAGTCCCTAAGTGTCAATTTAGTTGCCAAGCTTTTTAATATGGTCTGAAATAGTCTCCACAGAGGATTATTTCAACCCCAATTTAAAAAGTCTGGGTACTAATTTGGTAGTTTTATAGATTAAAATGGCTCCATTTAAACAATCAAGGACTTTTTTGGCACTTTACTCTTTATTAATTGGTGCTTGGCTTTTGAGACCTTGTAGCTTGTCAGAACTACTATTTATGGTTTATTTACAGCTTTCTTTCCTATACTACTATCATGTGAACAAATGTCAGTGAAGAAATCAATTCCATGATAAACTAAATAATTATGATTGCATAATTTCTGACTTATTTTGAGAAGATTTGTAGGATGCTCTCTACAGACTTCATTAGAGAGTGTTTGGTAGCATCTTTGAATAGGATTCATCACCGGATTTACAAAATCTAGCCAAACACAAAAATGTGACTTCCTTGGATTTATAAATTTTGCTTTCAAGTGGATTTACTAAATCCTGCAGTAGGGTGGATTTAACGGATTTACTTATCTTACTAACGCAAAATCCTGTTTGCATTCAAACACCCCCATAATGTTTCCCTCACAAATTCCGATATACATAATTTTTTGGGTTGTCTCTAAGATGCCATAAGGACATGCATAGCCTGAGCAAAATCGTTAAAATGCTAGAATTCGAACCAAATGTGCCCACCGTTCGGACCAAAACATAGCTTCCTTGGTGTTTGAACGAGAGGTTGTATTGTAAATTGCATTGTTTCAAGGTCATCATCAGAACGCAACTTACATTCATAAAATCGTAGTTTAGCTGTAAGGTTTACATTACACTTCAACCAAAATCCTATTTATTTTTTAAAGCACTAAGTTATGGACAACCCACATTTCCATGCTTTTCTCCCACTCTAAGGGCTCCAGGGAGCACAAAATGTGCTCACTACAAACCTCTTTTTGCCATACTAAAAAAGATGGGAGACCTCCCATTCACAAAAAAAGAGGGGAGACCTCCCATTCACAGTTGTTGGGATAATGTAGAGAAGATAGCATAGACTGAGCTAAGCAGCTCTCACTCAGTTGGCTTTGTCACACCCCGGGGCCAGAAGATAGTACATCCAGTTGGTTTTAACCCCAAATCCAGAAGGCGGTTGTTGACCTCATTTTTAGTGAGGTCTTAGTCTTCTACTCTTAGGACCTAGAATCTAGCCTTAGGAGTTTCTTGTTGATCATCCTAGCGGACTAGCAATGGAGCCCACCTCCCGTAGAACTTCAAGCCACTTCTTGACTCATTTTTGTGAAGAACTCGCATGAGTGGTTCCAAGCACTCAACTTTTAGTTGCAAGGGCTCAGGACCAACATGTAGAGGGCCCGAAAATGAGTTCCCATAGGATCAGATGACGATAGGTGAACCCTTTGTGACTCGATTACTCGCGAACGC